AGAGGACGCCTTCAACTAAAAGCGTTGAGTTTTAATTGAAGAATGAATAACGCTAACGAGTCTTATTTTTATTCAAGAAATAAAATAATCTTTGCATCGAATTTTTACATTTATAAGATAGTAACTAGTATGACAAAGAGAGATTTTTTATGTACAAAATGACACATTAAAATGTATAGAAATAAGAAGACGAAAATTTTTTCGCTGCTGCGGGAATCGAACCCACGTCTTCCGGATTCACGCCCAGATGCTTTAACTACTACGATAAATGGCTTATTGCTACACCAAAGAAAATATCAATGTCCTTGCCTTTTTTCTACATTGTTTCCTTTTTCGCATTTTAAGCAATTGCTTGACAAAATATGTGTTACCGGCCAAACCCGATTTCAGGACAAACTAGTTTTGCCTAGGCTAAACTAGTTCTTCCTATTCGCGATAGGAGTAACTAGTTTAGCCTAGTCCAAACTAGTTGATCCTGATATAAATACGCACACTCTAGCATAAACTAGTATGGCTTAGTCTAAACAGTATAGTACATCTAGAAAGTCAAAATATATAGATAAACTGAATAAAATATTCCGTAATTGGAAAAAAATAACCATTTTTATTAAAACCATAATGATTCGTCGTTAAAAGTTATGGATAATTGTCAATTCAAACAATCATAATATAACAAATAATAAATGTTTTTAATAGATGCAATAACCATATTACCCAATTATTAAAATTGTTATTTATTTTTATATGAAAAACTTGTTATTGTTATTTATGCTGGGGTGGCACTTAGAATTGCAGAGTATCATTGCCTTCTTGCACTGGCATCTGTTTGTGGAACAGTTTTTGTTGCAGATGAATCTCATAAAAACTTGGCCTGATCCAACTGAATGTTTCGTAGATGCAGTCCTTAAAGATATTTTAGAGTCTTGGTTTACATCTGCTACCTATTAAAAAGGAATGGCGAGTGAGGAGCGGTGTAGGGCGTGATTTGGGAACTACCGCATGTTGTACATGATGTTTGCTCAATTACTTTCTTTGTTTAAACTGTTTAGACTAGGCCATACCAGTTATTTTAGTATGTTATACATGAAAATTAATTTACCTCTACCAAAATTGTATGATGTCCAAATTAAACCTGAATAATTGTTACTATTATTACTGCGGTAGGTGTTAGATTATTCATGAATATGTATGGGCCTCCATTGTTCTCATTGACGTACGTACGTAATTGGTTACTTGATTGGGTTTTGCACAGGACTGGTCGATGGAGTATAATATTGAAAGTTGCAGTGATTTTTGTACAATTCTTTAACACAAGTAAATTTTAACTAGATGTTGAATTTTACAGAGCGACGCTTTTTTGCGTTGGGCGGCCTCATACCGGGAATATCCTTGGCTTCACAAAACTGGGTTTAACTTGAATTATTTAGAGTTTTATATTTTATCCGGCGAGTGCTCGCTCTAAGACGTGCACCTGCAACCATCCGATAATTTTTTAACATAAGATCTTTATGATCCACCTGATCTTTTGCCAACTTCTCCTGCAATAAGAAAGTATTAAGAACGGTACCTCAAACTTTACATCTAACTATTGTGTCCTTTAAAAAAGTTCTATATTTGCAAATAGATTTAAACTTTAAAAATATGTTTATGCACGTAAAAAGCTGTGTGAAATGTGTTAAAACGTAAATTTTATGTTTTCTTAGGCTATGGCCATGGTCTAATATATAGACATCATGGCCAGGCTATGGCCATGATGTCTATATATTATACAATGTATATCATTTTTTTAGCATATACTTATGTGTAAAATTTAAATAAAAATTTCCTACGCACGAGCTTAAGTGGACATGCATTTACAGCGTTTGTCTCTTTTAAAAATATGAAAACTTAACAAGTTCAGGTGACATTTATCTTTAAAGAAAAGCGTGGCTAATACTTCAACGTATAAATTTTTGAAGAAAATGAAAAAAAAAAACTGTTACAAAAAAATTGTATTTTTCTATACTTAAACCTTATAAATAAATCCTTAAAACCTTTTAAGTTATTGATCGCCTTTACAAACTTTAACTAATGCTTAGCTTGTATTGTATTAATTTAATAAAACATATAAATCGGCTTCTTATTAATAAGTCTTGAAGATTAAAGTTCTTTGAAATTGAATTAATTGAATGAGTGCTTTTACTTAGATACTAAGACTACTAACTATACTTCTATAGCACTGTATTTATTAGGCCTGTTTTCATTCATGCACGTAGCCGCTTTGACGCTTTAGCCACTAAGCTAAACGTCTGATTGCTACACTGACGAAAATCTGAACTTCTTTGAATGTAGATAACATTGTTTTTTAGCATTTGAAGTAATGCTTGGTGCATCCATTGTAATTAATATCCTTTCCAGCATACAAAGTATTTCGAATATAATCGTCGAATCGAATAAGTATTTCGAATATGTCGTCAATTTTAATCTATGGCCAAAGCAAAACTAGATAACGGCCATCCAAGGTAAATTTTATAAAATCCATAAAATAGTATTGATAAAGTTAATACTACTTTAATACAACTTTACTCAAACAACACCACAAGACATCTACATAGTGGTAAAATGCATTAGTTTAAACATTGTTGACAGATATAGTAGTTAGCGGAGCGTTGGTGACATTATAAATTAATTTACTTAGTCACAAGTGGGAGGGCACGTAATAACATTAACAGCCCCGAGGCTTTTCGTTACGAGGTTTGCCGGGCGGCAGCCATATTCCAACATTGTGTAAAGTTATGCGCACAACATTAACTAGCAGAATTTTGCGAGAGGAAATATCGCTTTAAACGAACGAATATTTTTGATTATCTAAACGACCAGGCCGTTTAGATAATCAGTAAAATCAGCCTGAAATATTAAATAAATCCTTTGACCTGTAAACTATCCGTTTGGTTCTGTTTTTATATATCGTAAGTGAGATAGCGCGGCTGTGGAGAGTTTCAAGCCTAGTGTTCATTCCCACTAGGTGGATCGACGTCATCTTAGAAGTCACGGACAACTGGTGAATGCAAATGGTAGCACCTTTCGTTGCTAATTAATACAAGGACTGAGTTAAAATGTTCAGAGCTTGATATATTTAACTTCCAATGTAATATTAAAAAGTTTATTTATACTAAGTCATGAAATGTTTTGATTAGCCACTTATTTTTTTTTTATAATTTATAATTTTTATTATTTTTTTTTAGTTACTAATTGCATTCATTGTTATTATTTTTTACGTACATTTTTGTTTTCTATGTTTATTAAATTATTTTAAGTTTAATTTTTCTATTTCACATAATTTGAATACTTGTATGTACTTACAAGTTGAGAGCATTATTTATGTGTACATGATGTGTTCGCTTATGGTGGAATATTCACTTTATTTTTAAACTTGTATCTATAGAAAATGTTTAAGTGTAATGTTCTGTTTGCGATCCGAAATAAATAAAAAAAAATGAGGGCTTTTTTCAACAGTCGATCGTCGTCCTACTAGTGTCGATGATAATGTTCAGTTCCGCTGGAATCTTATTCAGTCCGAAAGTAAGGTTAGAGTGGTTTGCGAATTTCGTACTGAGAGCAGTCTCTAAATGTTTGATGACTCCGTGGCGCAGTTTCCAGGGATTCCCACACGTTGCAACTATTTGTGTGACCTACAGATAACTGTTAACAACTAACGTATAACATAAATACACAAAATAATGTTATCCTTAATGGTATCCTACAGTAAGGGCAAACTTTTTAAAAAGTAAAAAAGATGTGATATCGATCATGTAAAATTCATTGCTTTCATAATACAGGCGTCCAAATAGACAAGCCACTCTCGATTTATAGTGTAAGTGTTGTATCATATTTAGTTAATCTTGTTATGCATAATTCCTGGTGCTAAAATATATTTAATAATTTCTTACTTATAAGGACATACTTCAGTCTGTCTGGATTAAATTTAATCTGCCGAGTCTGATACAGGTAGCCTGTGTACGAACTGGGTGATGACAAGAGGTGATGCAGCCGCATATAGTTAATGCACTATTCCATTAAAAGCCTATTATCTCTTGCCTTCATGAATTCTATGCTTTTTATTCAGTATACTTTAGGTAAAACTTCGGAAAGAATTTAAAAATTACACAACGTTCTTGCATGAATTTGTTTTGGCAGTAAGTTGTATCGATTGAAATAATTATTGAAATATTAAATATCAAGATAAATAAAAAAAACGTTTTTTTTTTGTTATACATTCTTTTATTTCGGCTTAATGATCATAATTTATGTATTAGTAATTAGCTGTATGTAATTCAGCTACCTTATATTCTAGTTCTTCAAGTGAAATTTATTTCATTTGACTTTTGACCAACAATTGGTAGTTCTTAAAGAGAGAATCTTTGATTTCTCACATCACTATGACAGATAAATAAAAGAATCAAGGGTGTAATAATACGCGGGGTAACATCGATAAAAACTTTATTGATAAAGTCGACAGAGGTCGGCTTCGTCTATTAAGCGTACATTACTCCCGACGTCTCTTTACAATATTTCGCTATACGACAAAGTTTAATTGTTAATATTAACATTGGATTACAATACACAGATTTTGGAAAGAGACGGGGCGAGGGTGGATCGGGCGTGCGGGGGGGGGGGGGGGAGCGCCTGGAAAACGCACGCCCATCGATCCCGAATACTTACAATTTTCTATCTAACAATATCATGATTGCTAATATCAAAAAATTTACAATGAAAATAGAATTTACTCTAAAAATAATTTCGCGCTAAGCGGGCGCCGGTCGCGTGGGGCGGCCGGCGCCGGAGCGCTGTCTATCACATTGAAAGATTCATAAAGTAAGGGACACTGAGCACACACAAGACAGCATGCGGCGCGACGGGCAGCCGCGCAGAGCTGCTCTCACTCACCGTTTGAGATACGAATCTGTACTCGACTACTAAGTTATTACTTATTAGACTTTAAAATGCGCCGTTGGCACCTACACGAAGAGATCCTTTAATGATGAACATATAGAAGCGTCGCAGCCGTCCGCTGCCTCTTCATCCTCCGGCCTGTTGCTGCCCCAGCGCTCGCCCTCCGTGGAGCCCGCCTGCCTGCTCGTGCTCGGAGTTTCCTGCGACTTGACTCGGTTTTCAGTGCCCCTCTTGGCCTCCTTCTCAGCCTTTTTGCTGGGCTTCGGGACGCCCGACGTTGAAGGCGTGGACTCCACCGCACTACTCCTTCTTAGAAACACTTCGATAGCGCTGCCAAGGGCGCTGGCGTCGACCACGGAGCCAGTCGGCTTGTCCCAGATGACGGCGGCGGCATCACCGGGTGGCGGTTTCGAGTCCGGGGCAAAGGTCACCTTGGGCTTCCTCGGCTCGTTTTCCGTCTTCTTCGCCGCCAGCGTCTGGTGCCGGCGCGTGAACCAAGCGCCGCCCGACTCCGTGGACCTCTCGCGCAGGTTGGTCGCGTCGAAGCTGCTCGAGCGCATCTCCGCGAGGCGCCTTGCCCTGTCCGGTTTGCCGCAGCGATCTATCTCCGTAGCGGAGGACGTGAGGGCGTTCAGCATGAGCCGGAGGTCGGTGTCCGTGCAGACGACGCCCGCTCCGGTGCGCGGCGGGATCGGCGGCGGCGGCGGCATTTCCGAGGCCCGGCGGCGCGCGGGTATAGGGGGCAAAGGCGCCCCAACGAAATCGGAGTGGCGGCGTCCACGGTTCGTGTATCTCACTGATCCACTCATGGGGGAGCGCTCGTCGAGCGGCTGAACCTCGCAAACCCGCTCGTTAGACGTGTTCCAAAGGCGCATTCGGACCTTGCGCGCCTGCACTATATCGTCCATTATGTCGAGCTGCAAGTTGTGAGTGCTGCCCAACGTGTCGGTGGCAGGTGGACCTGAGACAAGTGTGTATTAAATAATTCAGCGATTGTAAAAGCCATGGCGGGTCATAGATAAACTAGGTACTTAACGTAAAATACAAGGACAGATTAATATTTTAACATATAATATAATACAATCAAACGTACATTTTTTAGCACCTGAATCTCTGCGGCGGCCGAGCGCTGGAAATGCGGCGATCGACTCTCGACGTCCGCGCCCGAAGAGTGCTTGTGGCACCCTCGAAATTGTCACTACGGAATGCCTGCAAAGGGTGTGTTCATATTATTCCAGCTTTTCAAATTATGAACGAGTAAACATTTAGGTCAGTCCCAAATAAGTAAGTGGTAAACCGGTGAAACGGTCTTAAATTACTATGTACTAGGTAACGGATAACTATACTGAAACATAATTTTATTTAGTACATACAATTTATACACTAGAATTGAATACACACTTTAATACACTAGAAACACATTTTGTTCATCACACAATGTTTTTACAGTAGTGGGAATCGAACCACACCCTCTGGCGCAAAAACCAGGTTCACTCTACCCACTGCCCATTACATTCAGTTCGTATAGTAGCCATATCATCCGGAATGGTTGCTTTTTTTAATTAACGGTAGAATGAGGTTGGTTAAGAATAATGAATAGTTATTTATAAGTATACCTTCTCCCTCCAGGCTGAGGTGGCGCTTGGCTGAGAGTAGCCAAAAACGCTGCCTCGCGTGCTTCTTTAGCGGCGCCTTCGCCCCTCTCGGATAAGCGTCTTACCTGGTGAAAAATGTCTTATCATTTTTGTTAAATTGAGAAAATACAGTAAATGCCCGAAAAACTAAAAATAAGAGGAAAATTTGGATAACCTTTATATCAATAGACAAATAAGGAATAGAGTATTTATGTTTCTATAGAAATATTATATTTGAGCAAGTTCATTAGGAGTGTTCTAATGACAAAAACTCGGGTTGGAAGGTGCTTATTTTTGAACAAATTCCTTTAAAGTACTCGCGTGTCAAAAAAACGTTGACGCACCTGGCTGGCGGTAGGGCCGGAAGTACATGACGGTGTTGGTAGAGAGTGCTTCCGGTTTTCCCGCCAGGGCGACAAGTGGTAGGGGTCGGGGGGCGACTCCTGGTCGACGGAGAGGTCGCGGGCGGACACCAGAGGGCGCGACGGGTAGTCCGTGTCCTCCACACCGCTCTCCTCGACCACGATCAGCGGTTCCCCCCCACCGACTATCGCCATAGAACCGCGCCGCATCATGGCTGCTTTAGGTGGAAAACAAGGTTATAGAATCAATAAATAAATAAACAACTTAATAAATGTTTTAGGACACATTTTTGCACAACGTTCTCTAGTCTCGAACTAAGCAACGCTTGCACTATGAGAACTAGATAACTGATAACATACTTTTCTGTTAGTAAATATATGCATATTATACATATATAAACCCACCCAGACATTAGAAAAACACTATGTTGAACACACAATATATTTCCAGTAGTGGGGATCGAACCTACACCCTCTGCTGCAACAGGCAGGTACACTACCCATTACCGCCATTCGGGTCGTGCAAAAACAACAAAGCTCAAAATAAACACCAACGACTACTATCCACACACACTTAGAAGCAAAAAAAACACATAAAAATTGGAAAAATACACTTTGTAAATTAATTAGTTACACTGATCATTATCCTCAAAATTGTAATTATGTGTTATATCAAACGCCACGATAAATAATACAAAATAAATACACGATTTAATTAGTTACTAACAAGGCAATTATGTAACTTGAACTTGCTTCGTCAAAAAATTACTTATATTTATGTTTGCTTTTAAATTAAAGAAAATATTGTGAATTACTTTGTGTAACCTGATATATATAAATATACCCATCTGTAGCCGCCTATAAATAGCCTTTTTATTCAAGCACTTTATCTAGATACAAATATCGAGGTCTTAGCTAACTCACGTTATTTAAGTTAATAGCGTTTCTTTATGTTTTTATTTAACTACTTAGAACATGTGAAAAGTATAATGATTGTTTTTGAATATATGAAAATTAAACTTACAGTTGCTCGATCTCAATAACCCTTTTAACGCCTTAATGGGTTTTGTTTAATCTGAGTACGTACAAATTTAAAGCTTCTGACATTTACGTTCCATGTACTTTTTATGGGTATGCCTGAGCAAACAATTGTTCAACAGGTCTCCCGGCCGTGTGGCTGGCCAGGGCTGCTTTGCCACTGACCTATTTAGACGACCTCGACCGGTCGCGTGGATTCCCGGCACAAATCACCTGGAGTGGTGTCTACTTTAAAGCGTTTGTAAAAAATAAATGTAAATGTACGTTTTTAACCGCGAAACGCTGATGTGCTGAAGTTTCTATCGCGAAGGCTGTTGATGACAAAATATCTCAGTAATAAACAAGAAATTGTAATTGTAAAAATGTTTTACAACAAACCGTTTTTATGTTATTCTATTTTCATAAACAAAATTGTTGATTACTTCTTGTAAATCTTCTAAAAAGTATTTTCATTAAATGGAAATAGTTATTCCAATTATAACAGTTGCCAGGTTAATTTTATTCTTGTTAAAGCGTAAATGTTTTGTGATAAAAAATCAAAAATATGTTACATTGAATTTTAATGTCTGAACTCTACATAATATGTGTGTATGGAACTAAAAGAGTTATTGGGCATTGTAATAGACCAATCGAAATTGTACTTTAAATGTTATGAAAGGCAAATGAAGTATCACTGAAGTTCATAAGCTCAAGTATTATTGTAGCTTCTCTCTAGAACAATAGACGAAAAATACTGAATAAAGTATTGAGAAAAAAGAAAAGCTACTAGCTACTTACTATAATCAATTAAAAACTGTACTTAATTAGGAAAAGAGCTCAAGATAGAAATTTATTGAGATAAATCCTGTTGCTTGCATAATAAATGTATTCCTCGTTAATATACAAAATATAGACTGGGGAGGTTCTTATAAATTGCATATATAAAAGTTTCTACATTAAATAAAAAAATATAAAATTAAGAAAAAGGATCCATCATAATACCAAATTTGCTTTATATACAGCAACTATAGAAGTTTCGGGAACTAGTATTGTCACCAGAATCCATTTTACGATGGAGTGATTAAAGAAAATGAAATAATCACGAAATGCCGTTAAAGTACTACAAGTAACCACAACCTCGTAATTATTTTCTCACTCGTTTTATATGCACATTGTAGACGATATTGTTTTGATCAAGCAGTAAATAAGTGATATATTTCTCATAAATTAACGGTTCATAGGGCACAACAGTGTAATATATGCTTCTGTGCAGCTATTATTTACGATCTTTATTACAAAAAATCTGATTGTTAATTATATAGTAATACTTCCGTACTTCATATCGCGATCCAGAAATAAACATATCCAGAAATGACGTCAGCACGCACTGTAGTATACCACTGGTCATATGAAGATTATGGTCTAACAAATATGTACCTCCTATTATATTGACACCAATTATATTTCCAATTGCTTGTTACTTGTATATAATCTATGTAAGGTTATATATCAAATTCACTTTTTCTTTCTTCTCTTCTTCTATATATTAAAACGTGAACCGTGAACTTTGTACGACTTTTTACGAAAATTGCGCGGATGGAAGACTATGAAATTTCCCACACTTATAGTTTATATTGAGAAGGAGTGCAGAATGCTAATATTTTTCTTTTAAAAATTTGCATGAAAAATGCACTAAATCAATAAAAAAAACATACCACACACTACCATGTATAATAAATTATGGTCTAATATCGACCACTGGGCGTCCACTATAGTATGTATGTACATAAATCTACAGCTTTCAAGTACATGGTATAAGGTCCATGGGCGATAAAAATAGATTAATTAAACTGACCTTTTCGACTCCGTCATAGGCTATGTTCTTATTTGATAAAATATAATCCCATATTTTATTTAAACGTAGAAACAAGCAGGAGCAAATCACAATTTATTAAAAACCTAAAAGAACATTATTTATTTTGGTTCGGGCTTCTTCAAAAATATCGCTCTAATTAAAAATATATACTTACAAACCCGATGTTATTTGTGTATTCGCAAATATTAATTATTACGCCATTAGAAATTCATTAAAATTCGTAGATTTTGATGGGAACGTTGAAGCCAAAATATTTTCTTTCATCTCTAATTATAAACGGTGATTGAGCTGAGAATCTTTTTGTTTACCGGCGATATGAATTTGAAATAAGCATTTATAAATATAAAGTATTTTTTCAATTTGTTTTAGGTAGCCTATTGGACTGTAATATTCATTAGAATGTGACCAAAACTATGACCAAACACTTGACGTATTGGTCTATAATCTATATTGTCAACCTTCCAGGGTCAATTCTACAATAATTATCTACTGGAAGCGCTCAACAGAAATCAATTAAGAATTAATATAAATTTGTATATAATCAATATTATTGTCAATAATGTGTTACTATGTTCCACATCCATTACTAAAAAAATAAGCATGCACAAAGGTATAAAATCTTAATGTTCAAACATCGTTAGGTTGTCATAAATGTGATTTAATTTTTAAACCTTACTCAACTCAAAAGGCGTTAATTAAGCAAAAGAGCTTTTACAGTTTCCGCTCGTTGTACCAGACTTTCTATCTGAACGGGACGAGAAATGAACAACAAAAGCCAACGGAGATTATGCTAACTCAAATAAAAACCGGGTGTTATTTCTTACTAAAGTATCACTTCAGTGAAATTATTTTAAAATTTAAAATAAGTTGTTTTTATATTGTTGTGCGTTTCGTGGATTTTATTTAATCGTGTGAAAAGTTTTCTTAATGCAAATAATGAATACTTTTTTGTTTATTTGGTACATAATCTAAAACGCATAAATATGACCGTACTTCTTAAAATTATTAATTTAAATTAATTTCTTAAAATTATTAAAATCTGAAGGACACAAACACTTTTTTGCACGATTAGGCGCATCCATACTAGAACCATGACCCCACAGATGACCAACATAGAGTAGAAATGTTTATAATTTTCTATTTTGTCTGGAGAGTAAGGTAAATGGGGCTCACATTCACAAAGTTTGGAAACGCAACAGCCAACCCTAAAAGTGTTGATGTCTATGAGCGAGGATTATCACTTAACGACACTCAAACTGCTCCATCGTTTGGCACCTTCCCACAAAAAAAGGGTTCAAGCCTTTCTCAACCAAAGTCTTTTATATTTACTAACTGTTAGCATTATCATACTAAAATAATTAAGAAAAATCCTTATGAGGCACCAATAAAATTATAATCCCGTTAATATATTTAATTTGAAGATATTGGCATCTTGTAAAGTTAAGTTCCTGAATCATTGGAAAAGAAGTTATTTGTGATGACTGTTACCACGGAAAAATCTTACTATAAAGATTACGACCGATCTGTTTAGTATAAATAAATTATAAATTGATATAAATAGTCTAGCAGAACACACCACTAATGGGATTATTTATGGATATGATTGATTACATATGTCATTTTCTAGTGTTGTTTGTTACAATGTCCAATCAGTCCTTCGCATTAAAAACGCTACAACAAATACATTACTGATTCTTGTTTAATTTATATTAATATGAATTTTACCTCTTTAAAAGACAAACATTTTTTATTCTAATAGTTTTAAACATAAGAAGGACCTCTGTTAAAACACTTTTATTTCGAATCATGAAAGGTTTTTTACCTTAAATGTGGACATTGAGTTTAGCCAATGAGAAAAGAACGAATTGCAGATTATTCTGCTATTTCTACATAGTTATATTGACATCCCAAACTCAATTTATTCTATGGTTGATGCGGGACCGATTTTTATCAGTTTTATTGAAAACGTCGCAGAAGCCGGCAGTTGCATTTGCATTTACGACGCGTAAAAGCTCTCACGGAGAAAAGGCTTTTCGAGATTGAGTGTATAAAGTAAGAACAAAATTGACTGGGACAAGAGGCTCTCAAAGAATGAAAATAAAGAAACATGTATGGGATATATAACAAATATATGCACGGGGCAGTTTTAGGTTGCTTTCAATAATGCACAGTCTTATAATGAAAGATATGCTTTTATAAAAATAAAATAGGAAAATCGTTTGCATTATAAGAAGTTTATTTATTTGTTTATTCGGGAAAACAACAGCATATTTACAATAGGTTTTCTATGTTTTCACATCTTAACAATAGCCATTTAATTGGAAGCACTGTATTCAAAACGTAACGAAATAAAAATCAGCAATACTTTTATAAAAAAAATGTATTATCAAAAAACTAAGGTTATTGTGATTAATAATAATAATAAAGGTCATGTGTTAACTTCAGAATCAATAATTAGGTTTAAAAAGTAGTTTTGTACGTGTTAGATTTATTACTTAAAATAAAGTGAGCGGATGAAAACTTCATCCGACCGAAAAAAATGAAATAGGCGCTGACTTTTAAACCACTTGTTGCTTATAAAGCCTTATATTTACTAGTAGGAGTTTTTATAAAATTTCAATTCATAAGATAAATTTCTATGTAGATATAAATGTGTATCACTGAATTGAATTTTTATAAATCGTAAATAATGGGTTTAGATTTAAATACCAACACACATAATACATACATGCATTAGCACAAGATAGAAATGGATAGTGTTTGCATGAATGCTCTCATTATTTAGAAAATCTGCGTTTGAAGGTTGAATATACGTGCACGGCGCAATTAGTATCCACCTTGAGGTCGCGCTATGGTGGTCGGTTTGGGGGGGAGGGGGGAAGGGTTGGATAGCGGGGCGAGGGGGGCACGATTGGGGGGTGAGGTGTTGGGTTGCATGCGTGCGCTTGTAAGTGTAACGCGTACCGGCGGGTGCTTGAAACGTAGCGCGGCGCGGCGTGCGCTCAGCTCGGCGTTCGGAGAGCCACTGGGCCCACGGGGCGGTTTCGCAGCCTCCGGACCGCCGCCCGCCCAATCTGACGCTTTCGCTCCGCACTCCGATGCACCCGTTCTAGCGGCGGACGCGCGGTGCCGGTTTAATTCTGTCTCCCTGGGCGAATGCCGTTTGAATGGGTCATTTCAGCGCTCCCTCTGGGGTCCGAGCCGGCATGTTCCAGTTAGACTATAGACTATACAATTCAAAATGCCTTCTAACATGTATGCTAGGTGCAGAAAAACTCGACTAAATGTGACACACATAACAATAACGTTCTATTGTATAAACCTTAAATCCTCGCAAAAAAAAATAGGTTATACGCATGCTATTGAAATAAACAAATATCCTTATCTCAGTAGAGAAGATACTTGAAGGCTATCAGAAGCTTGGGGCGTTAATTATAAAATAAATTTGAACAAACATACAGTGCAAGGACTGATACCGTAATCTCATAAAAGGAAATAAGTAATGTAACAGTCTGGCCTATGTAAGGTGTTATAAATGTCCGAAATTTACAAACGAATTAGTTTCACAGTTAAATTTTCAAGAACTTCGCAATGTTCGCATTCTTTCAGTAGGTATACTATAACTTATATTCTCTATTATATGTGTAACATGTTGGAAATTCAATAACTTGGAGCGAAACAATTTTAAGTAGCAAAACATTTTTGACACGAGTTTATTTAATACCAGCTGCATTGAATTGGATTTAAATATATTTACTCTACGTACATTTAGTTTATTTGAAGTACATTAAATACATCTTATATATAAAATTCTCGTGTCACAGTGTTAGTTATGTTACTCCTCCGAAACGGCTTTACTGATTTTTACCAAACTTTATATGCATATTCAGTAGGTCTGAGAACCGGCTACTATCTATTTTCCATACCCCTAAGTGATAAGGGTTGTTCATCCTTAAAGTATTTTTTTAATTTTTGGACAAAATGTTTTGATTTTATTTTTTATGATACAGCATATAAAAATACATACAACCTTAAATTTTCACCCCTCTACGCAGACGTATTCGCGGGCAGCAGCTAGTAAAATATAAATAGCAAAAATCAAAAAGAACTCGATGCACACAACAATATCTCGGCTCAATGAGCCCACTCGGAGCGGCCCTCTCGGGCCGGGATTACACCACAGGCCGGCCCAGTGTGGGTTCCTCTTAGCTTCGCCGTGGGTGACCAAGCCACGGCTACTAAGCCCCTCCGCCACGTCAAGGCGGGAACCCGGTCGGAGGGGAACTCCACATAACCCTGTCGTGTAAGGTGACAGGTATCTTTTGAAAATTTCCCCCCGATATAAAAAAGGTGGTTCTAATCCAAGTCCAGAAAGCAATTTTAACCGCATATTACATTATTATAGGTAAATCTCAACACACTTGTATATCACGTTATGTTTAAAGTGAACGCAAATGATATACATAATATAATCTACATACATGTCATAACTACGTTGACCTATTATTATCTTATATTTGCGTCTGGTGAGTGTTGTAATAGAAGCTCACACTCTTAAAAGCTGGCAACGCAATTAACCTCACGGGTGTAATATACACAGGTGCGATCATTTACAAAAATATAGTAAGGTGCGGCTGTAATAAAGGATCAAATATCTTTTTAAGTAAAGGAGTATTTCAAATAAAACAGCTCTGTGTTCTACCGCGACCTGGTCGTGGATTGGTTAACGTAACAAGCCCTTAAAATATTACATATGAAAAACCATGTTTGCTGAAGGCCTCTAAAATAACAAAGAAACATCTTATAAACTTATGTTCTAGAGGCCTTTATAAAATAAGTCGTACTAAGACAAAAGTCTATATTCGTCAACGGTTAACTTACTATCCTTGGACCCGAAGGCATGATAAATCACAAAATACATTAACATACTTATATGTTTAAATTTATGTTCGAATATGAAGAAATTGTACGAACCCGTGAACAGGAATCCTATTTAGCTCCATATTAATCAATGCCTTCTGAGCTCTCGAAATCCGATTCATCATGATATCTCACACTAAGCCGTTTATTCGGACCACGAACTGTACCATTCGAATAACTAATTCGCAATATATCGGTTTTAATTAAGTTCCATCACAAAGTTACCATAGTGAGGCCGACGACGAATACCTATTCTGGACGTATCGAATTAATGTTGCGTATCGATTTTATTTCTATGACATGAAATATGTTAGTACGGCGTAGATTTATATGCTTTATGCGTGCCAATTAAATAATTTGCCTTTTTTATAGTTGTACACGTGATCCAGTTTTAGTGGGGGTTTTATTATTAAAAAAAAAACAAAAAAAAAAGGAAATTAGGACCTGTGTGCAAAGTGCTTTAGGACTTTTGAGAACAGAGCCTATTCTTACCAACAAGGCTACGAACGCCTTTGCTACTTCTTCGATGTTGAGGAAATGGGTGATGGATGCAATGTTGATCTTAAAGATGATAATTAGTATTGGATGGCAGGGGGCATTAGGGATCTCAGTACTGGCCAATTTTTAAAAGAAAGGGAGAAAAAATAGGAAAAAAATTAGAAATGATCTGACAATGGTTATAGGCCCTTTACAGGACCCGTTTGATTACTTAAAATGATTTTCATCAATGTATCTTGACCAGTGTAATGTATTAAATAGTATTTAAGTCTGCGTCAATCAAAACCTAGAATATGTTTAAAATAAAAATTGTTCTCAAAATAAAAAGCAATAAATTTCAATTAGTTATATAAGTTACAGCTTCGGCACTCCCATTATTCATTTGACTTTAAAACGCATTTGTTGGCTGACTATAAAATACAATGCGAATCATAGTCAAATGTCAAATTGTGAATAAAAGATGTGCAATTGTGATAAGATCTTATACTTACAAACTTAGTAAGTGTAATATCTTTGTGTTAGTGAGAAAGTCATAGCTACATGACATTTTATTACACGCTTCATGGTCTTGGCGTTTTTGTTTTGGTTATATTAGTAACTTCAGTATAATATGTAAGTATGTAAAATAACATCAAAGTTATAATGTTGAAATTGTTACATTATAATTATGAAATACAAATTTTGTTACAGTATTGAGATTATTACATTATTATGTCTATAACAGCTAGCGATGGGTCGTTGAAGGTATTTTCTTCAACTTAACGTTAACGTTGATTCATGTTCGTCAACTAGTTGATTAACTAGTTAAATTCGTCAACTAGTTAACGTGACACATACATACGTATGATAAATTGCAAGCCCTTTCTTCTACTAGGGCAAAACGGATGAAAGCTATCTATGCATAAATCCAACAAATCTGAATTATTTTTTTTCTTTTGTTCGAAACTAATTTTTTTTCTTATCTAAATCAACCACCATACGCTGGTGTTTAAAGATTGGTACTAAAACACTGATGAAAATATTTAATTACATATTTCCGCTTCAAGTACAATTACTTTAAAGTTAAAGTAGTCAATTTCGATTTTTTTCTCCTTGCATACACTACAAACAGCTATTCCGCTAGAACTGTCTTTTTAGGTATGAAGCCATAACTCACTCACCACAGTCCTCTATACACTTAAATAATCATAAATTAAAATAAAAAAAACACTTAGCACAAAGTAAAATTCTGATAAACAAAACTAATAACATAAAATAAAATTCCAAATATAATTAATTAAAAATTAACAAATTCACAAAAAAAACACTAAATATGAAGTAAAGTTCTGATAATATTTACGCAAAGCCCCAAAATATTCTATAACCTTGCGCGCAACTATTCACAAACAAAAATACTTAAACATGTGAAAGCGAACTTAAACATGTCCTTCATAAAATTAAACAAACATTTCAACTTAACCCTGTGACGTTTTTTTCAACGGAAGTTTTTTTCAACGTAAGGTTTTCAATTCGTTACGCTTATGTTCCGTTGAATTAACGTATCGTTGACTGCGTTTTTAAACGAATTGATTCAACGTCAAAATTTCCGAAACGACGTTAACGAATTCAACTAGTTGATTTCAATGACAGTTAAAGTTAATTGGTTAACAAGGGATCAACGGTTGATTCAACTAGTTCGTTGATTCAACGTCCATCGCTAATAACAGCGTCATCTTGGTTGGCAAAATAAGTCATTGTATATTTAAATCTAAACTTATCCTTTCTCTATTCATAGACCTTAATGCGAATGCAAGTTTAACTGTGGTAGGGCTAGCAGCCTCGGCTGTAGTACGACTGGGCAAGCTCGTATTAAGTAAGTAACACGACCTCACAGAAGACAGGCGTGAAGTAGATGTATAATACTTATATTTCGCGTTTCGTCTGGTCAGTGAGGGGGCCGGAGCCCAATTTTCAAAAAGTTTGTCAACGCATCTGCAAACCCTCGGATGTATCAGATGGCCATGGGCGGTGGTCTTCACTTAACGTCAGGTGAATGGCCTGCTCGTTTAACAACTTTTCACATTATAAAAATATTCTGAAAAGCGTTTCGGAAGGAAACAAATAATCTGCACCTAGTCATATATGAGGACAGTTGTTTTATCACAAGGATGTAATATATAAAATTAAAAATGTAAATAGTCTTTAGGTTATATATTAGAAAGCCTGTCTTTATATGTGGTGAGAAATCAGAAAGCGGTAGGCTTAAATATAAGCTAGGTCATAGACCACCGCCCATAGACATCTACAACGCCAGTGGGGTTGAAGATGCGGTGTTGCCATTTATAAGAACTGGACTGGAGTTGTCTACTTACCAAACGGAATATTAATGTATAAATACCTCCACTTTATACCGGCCTCCAGTGGCTTATAAGTATTCGATAGACGAGCACGACTGTTCGTGCAACAACAGAAGCAATTGCTACCCACAATAGAATTGTAAATATTTAAACTAATGAACATAATGAGTAGAAAGCAGACGACCGGAAATTGTAAATTGGTGGTGTAGGTATATTTTAAAATCAAAATAGTTCGCAGAAACTCTACGAAAAGTAATAAGGGCATTTATTAACATGTAACAATACAACATGTAAATTTGGAGAAAGTCGTGTTTTTCTTTGGTTAAACTCGGCCACGCATATAGGAATATCACCGGTTCTTGGAAATCTCATGGCGAAAATTAATACTCATTCCATCGTCTGACATCGCTCAATAACAGACACGAAGTCCCTGTCGCTATTGGCATCCTTCGCATTCGTGCCATTCTAAAGCTGTTGTGACTGGATTGAACGCCCGTAACGACGGGAATCTCGGCTTTATTTAGGACGGCAAACCTTTCGGAAAATGATTGCAGGCGTCCGTCTGCGTATCCGGCCCTTATTACTATTCACTTGGCGTAGAAAAATATTTTAATGCGTATTACAAAAGCGATATAACGCAGAAACGGTGAATTTTTATGACACTTCAGTGCAGAGAGTGTACTAAGTCCATTCATTGGAATGTTCTCTTTTTACGTGAAATATTTCACAGTAGAGTAGAAAACTTAAGCTGTGTTACAAACATATTTTATTTTGTTGTAATTACTATCAGAAATACCAGTCTTTTGTCTTCCTGGCAGATTGTTGCAACCTTTCCTCAAGGTGCCGCCATGATTTGTTCTACTATACATGACTTTTTTGATGCACTAAATAATAAATATAAATGTTTCAAAACAAAGTCTTACTCAACATTACCTAGTCCCATAAATTATATTAAAAAGGTTGTAGTATGGATACTAGATACTAATAAAAATACTTATCTTTTTGTAAATTATAGTATAATGTAAGTATACATTTACTATACACATATATATATACCGAAACAACATTATTACATTCGTGGGGAACGAACCCTATCCCCTCCGACCAGGTTCCCGCCTTGACGTGGCGGAAGGGCTTAGTAGCCATGGCTTGGTCACCCACGGCGAAGCTAAGAGGAACCCACACTGCTGTGTTGAAAGGCCGGCCCGAGAGGGCCACTTCCAGTGGGCTCATTGAGACCACTCTGGATGCGTGCTGGAGGGTGCGCGGACAGGGCGAGGGTGGTAGAGGTGGTGAGGTCGGGCCACTCTTCCTGTCTTCTGCAACCGAGGAGGAGTCGCGAGGGAAGAGGAGTCTCTGTATTACGTTGGCTGCGCTCCCTATCCTCCGCGACTCGACGGGGTCGCACCGTTGTTGCAGTGGCGATGGGGCCGCGGGGGTAGAGGAGTGTCGGTATTGCGGTGCGCCGTTCTCCCTACCCTCCGAGGCCGAAACGTGAGCGGCGGAGCCACAGACCAGGTCCGCCACTGGGGGCTGGGAGGCTTGCCGCTTATTGGCACTAGCTCTTCTGGCTCCCATGACCTCTGGTAAGCGAACTCGGGGAAGTTCGTTCGCGGTGAACCGCTATAATATAATTGGTAAAACATCACCGATTTTCTGAGTAACAGGTGGACGTAGCAAGTAGAAATTTATACCAGACACTGAGGGCTATAGTCCGTATAAGGTGTAAAATCAAGGCCCTGAATCAAGGTCATAGAATAGGACTAATAAGTACCTTTGGGATATTATGAAACTCGAGTCTGCTAGCATTATATCTTTTGAAGAAGTAGAAGTTAAACGTGCGACACTCATTGTCAAAAATGGCCGCCAAAACGACTGCGGACTTATTTTTTTTTTTAATTTTAGGAATACTTACAGCTATTAATATTTATGTATTTCGATAGTTGCATTAAAATTATAATGTAATCTTTTTTTTTTTAAATCGCTTAATTTGATCTATTATATTATTTATTTCTAGTTAATATGCTTAGTAGAAACCCCGCCCGCACGTGGGTAAAAGTTTGAATTTTGTAACATGGCAGACATGCTTTAAAGTGTCTTGCGGCTTTCTGAAGGCAGTAAATATGTAAACAAATGAAATAGGGTTATCCCATAAATTAATATAAAATCTTATAAATCGAACTGTGGTAGGGCCACGCAACAGTATTCACTATTGCACGAATGGGCAGCACCGTCCGGGTAAGTATCAC